CGTGTAAGAAAATGAAAGGGTTTCCCGATCAATGTGCTAGCTGTTGTCTGAATGTTAAGTGAAACGGCTGAATCCTCGATCTTTACGAAAAGAGCCCTATTATATTTCACGCTTACGCATCCTCGTGGTCGATAAGCAAAAACCGAACATCCTCGTAGTAAAACGGAGCGAAATCAAGTTTCGACCAACTGATACGAAATGCCTTCCGAAAGGACTTTTTCCCAGGCGGTCGCCCTCAAATAATAATGAAACTTAATTACATGAGGCCAAGTCGATATGTTGGCGGTACAAATATTTAGAGGGCGAGCGCACGGTGGTCGCGAAGCGATGTTATTAGTAAATTAACTGACATCAAAGAAATTGCGAGTGATGGTCACTTACTCCACTAATGGAAAGCCTGCATCCTCCTGCAAGAGATATACATATATACGTATATATATAAAAGATATATGTATATCTTTTTCTCTTACAGGCGAAAGATTATTACATATCTCAAATTCCAAATATATATATATTTATAGTACATTGCGTATATAACATATTTTTTACTTGTGCCACAATTTATGTATCTGAAAAAAATCTTCGTGCAAATTTCATAAACTGTTCTCATCACTCTTTTATTAAATTACGTGCATTTCAACAACGAATTATTGCAACATATACGCTACCTTGTAAATGCTCGATATTCATCACACTACGATTTTAATAATGCATCTAATACGCGTTTTGATTTTTTTCAGAAAATATTCAGTTAAAATATGTATTTAAAAATATTTCATTCAAAATGTATTATAGAAATAATGTAAATGTTTCAAGCATACGAAATATTAGGTTGTAAATAAATATATAATGTAAAAGTCTATTAAAGTTATTTTTTACTCGAATGCCATTTAAATCCAGAACGAGCATTCTGCTCTTTCTACTTTCATCCTGCTTGTCTATTCAATATTTAATATTCAATCATTTTAACGCCATGCTATTGTCGTTGATGACTAAACGTTTTAATGATCGTCAGTAAGTAGAAATCCCGAAGATTGTCAACGTTTAAGGGGATAACACATGTTCCGTGTGACGGAAAGCCGAAAGATCTACACGCGTCGTTTCCTTTCGGTCTCATCTCTAAGACCGGCTCCGCTTCACCGGGTGTCCGTTGCCGAGGGTCTTAAGGGTGATTTTTTCTCGTTCCTCGGCCTCGCCGGACTAAATTTCGCGCGTTAAGCCCTCGGTGTAATCCTGCCCTTAATATTCAAAAACGTGATCGCCCTACCAAGAGTGCCGGAACTGGTTCGTAGCTTGCCCAACGAAGACGCCACCTCGACGGGGAGGGAGCTTTTCATATGCTAATTGGCATTCGTCATTTTCTTATGGCGCCGACTTAAGTGTGCTTAAGGCTGCTAACTCCTTTCCCGGCGTTAGAGAGCTGGCTATGCCTCGCCGGCGTCCTCGTAATTGGACCTCTTCTCGATCCGCGCTCACATGCAGGCGAACGCGGGAATTCGTCAATCGCAAAATCGAGAATCTCTCGCTTGACAATAATGGCCGAATCGATGAGACGAAACCTCTTATCGCAAAACTTTATCGGTGTTTTACTTTAATAGTGCACATATTGAGAGACACCTACTTGCGTTCGCGTAGATCTGCTTTGGTTGCGCAGTGTCCAACAATAAAAATCACTTAGGTTAAAAATTCACTTTTAATAAAGCACACGAACTGTGAATGCGAACGACTACGAATGCCGACCTATGACTTCACGAGCACGCTATATATTGCGAAAAACGAACGTCGAACATTGATCGACACCAACTTTTAATTAAACTAGAAATGACAAAACGCGCGCTTCGCGCGCGCAGTTTGTGATCGGGCATTGTATAGTATTAAGAATTTGTACACATGCAAAGAAGTAATTGTATGCGCAACCAGCGCAACGTCAATTTAAAATAAAAAGTAATTTATCACTTACTGATACGATTCGCGACAGCAGAGTTGTACATCGTTCACTGTATATGTTGTACTGTAAAAATACAAATATGTATATGATTATTATAGATTAATTATGTAAAATCGAAATTATTGTAGTAAATGTGGTGGTAAATTAAGCACTGTAGACCTTTTATACAAATGTCCTTTATTGCACACGTTCTCTCACGCCGGTCCACAGTCGTCGCTCTACCACCATCTTGTCTTCACTCTTCTCTACCGCTATCGATCGTCGCGACCGATCGAGAGTATCGATGTACGCACTCTCTCACTCTCACTCTCTCTCTCATTCCGCGCGGCTCATTCAAACTTACAACATAAATATACTTTATAATTTATATTTTTTTAAATAGATATTTATTGACATAATTATATAGAATACTGAAAAGGTCCTTCTTTTAAATATAAACTCAAAAAATTGTACACGTATGGTTTTGTCTCTAACACTTATTCGAATCCTCGTTCGAATCATTTGAATAAATCAAATGAAAATACAGAACAAATGTTGTATTTCGCACAAGTAGCAAGTAACATAAGAATGTAAGATACTTACCTCACCATTTCTCCGTCGTTGCCCGATGCCTGCTTGGCCTCCTCCTCCTCTCAGATTTCCTTGTGGCACTTACACAACACTCACTCGCGAAAATCACCGATCGCGCGAAATTTCGGACACTCCCGTACGCGATGTGATATATCGCGAAACGCCCGAAATAGTATTAACAAATATCGCGTGACTTTCTGTCATACAAATTACTCAAACTAACAATTTGATTCGGAAGAATAGGATAATGGATAAAACACTTTTGAATTGGCGTCAATCTAATCCTCGAGATAAGCTATGTGAACAAAATTTCCAGCGATAAATAGTAATTATTAATTGCAACAGTTAATCGAGATCATTTACACAACGTAACGACGTACAATAAGCGATTTTCTGTACTTCTTGCCCGTTCGAGTTGCGAAGAACGACAGAGCGACTTACAGCGCGAACGCCGAAGTCGCACAAATTTCTCTTTTCCCGAAAATGGAACAGATTACACGAAATCGATAGACAATTAAAAGCGCGGTGCGTAAACGAGATGTAACCGCGACAAAGTACCACGGTTTACATAAAAATTTTAGACGAGTTAGTCTCGTGAAATATGTATACGTTGATAAAGAGCCGTCGCCTCAACATGCAATCCGTTTCTCGTTACAAGTTGTCGAAACTTAGTAATTAGTCAAGGAACGTTACTTGTTACTAATGAAGGTGTGCAAATCAATAGTGTTTTATCCCTGCGTTCGTCGCGATCGAGTCTTGGAAGCCGATAACGGAAAAGTAATAACACGTACGGAGCGACTCTCGCCACTGCCTGCCGGCTCGACGTTCGGCGAGCGAGTGATAGAGCAGCGACCTTCAGGTAAACTTTGGCCCGCGTAACGTCGTACGATACAGCGCCGAGTGAAAAACAACAAAAAAACCTTGAGAATTCGTTGGCCCGCTTAATCGTCGTGCGATACCGCGCCGAGTGAAAAACAACAAAAGAACCTTGAGAATTCGTTGGCCTGTCTACGCAATGGAAAATTCCGTACTTAATATTTTATTGTATATTACTTTGTTCCGTGGCTGTTACTACGCTTTGTGTATTATTCTGCGGACTTATTGGTATTGATTAAATTAACGATTAATTCTGTTCAATCGAGAAAATGTATCGGAACAAAAATCGTTGTTACTTAAATTCTAATTACCAAGATTAGAGATTTTACCTCAATAGTTATTGTATACAAATGTATATTTCTAAATTGCAAATCTTCATTCACAATGAATCTAAAAGAGAAGTGAAGCACACCGCGCTTCGAGAAAACCAATCAACATCGCGGAAAAGAGGCCTCAACTGTTCGATATTAACGACATTCGCGCTGGTAATAGAAAGGGATAAAATAATGGAAAAGCAATAGAAGAGATACATTCGCGTAATTCATTACGTGAAAAATTAATATTAAACACAGTCACACTAAGAGATATTTGCTTACATTCGCGCAGATCTACTTCGGTCTCTCGTGCTGTTCAACAATAAAAATCACCATCTCTGTGTTAAAAGTTCACTTTCAATAAAACACACGGAACTGCGCGCATCATTACCTTGTCCGTTGGAGAGTCGTTGGCAAGTAATAACACTTACGAGCGCGCTATATGCCACAAAAAGCAAATACGAACATCGACCGTTACCAGGTTCATTGTCGCTTACGAAATATTTGTAAAATAAAATTCACGCCGAATATTTCGCCCGTTGTATTTTAAACTAAATTTCGACGAATTATTACCGCACACTTTGCGCACTGCTTCATGGGATTCTTAACATCGCGTCTAAGGCACAACGATTACTTTCATTTAATTGCTAATTCCATTAAAAGAAAAATTCAATAATTTGTATACTATTATGTTGCAATTTCTTGTGATTGATCAATTTGTTAACGTTAACTGATTGCTATCGCTACATAAAAAGACAAAAGATAACACCAGTTAACAATAAGTAATCTTCGATACTTTTGTATTACAATTTCTCTACTCTAATTAATCTACAGAAAATCTGCAGAATACGCTTTTAAAGCATTCCGCGATCATTGTAGAATACCTTGTATATTTAAAAACGCATGCACAAAGAGTTTCTTATATAATTTTCATAAAGTTGTAATAAAAATGTGTTACAGTTCAATCGCGACGAAGTTATATTAATAACAACGATACCTATTCAATGAATTAATAAATCTGCGTTTGCTCGAAAGGATTGGCCGTTTGTCAAATTAATCCTCGAGCGAAGATTAAAATAAATTTAAGCGCAATTGGTAGACGTGTTTAATTCGAATGCCAATGGCAGTGCGTTAAAGAATGGACGTTGTATGGTTATCCCTTTTGCACTCACGTGAATAGCGAGTCATACACACCTCCGCGATATGTCGGTGTCGGTAATGTTATCCCCATCGCGACACTCTAACTTTATCGGAAGATATCTCGACGGCGTATCTGTAAGAAGATAACACGCGTATTCATCGTCGAATAGTGCCGCGCCTGTGCGCTCACGTTGAACGCTTACGTTTCTTTCCTGCAACGGCAGAGGTGAAAAGACGGAAAACGAGCTTTCCACGGGGTGAAATTTTACGCGGGATGTTGTCGCCATGTGAGCTTACCACAAAGGTGAATTAATAACACGAAAAAAATAACTATTTTTATCATCAGTGCAAATCTGAATAAACGTAAGTAGATGCCTGTGCAACGTATGCTTCGTATCACAACTTTATCGATCCTGTGAAAAATTATAATCGCGAATTCGTGCCCTATTATAATTGCGTTACAAATTTACATTCGAATAGTGCGATTACTTTTGAAGAAGCCTCTACGGTTCCACTAACTCAATGACTCACGATGACACATAGGTTGATATCAGATATATACCATTGCCGTAATTTTTTGATTTTTATGACTTTGATTCCATATATGATATTTCTAATATAAAATTTATTGTAAGCAGCGGAATATCTTTTTTACGTGTGTATATTTGCAAAGTATCTACACGATACTCAGCTAAATGAAAAGCCTACACGCGCGTGGATGAGACTTTAACATATTTGATCTTGCGATTAAAAGGCACATTCTTTTTAGAAAAATGACAGTTCGTTTTCCGGAAGTGATAAGAAGCGGATCGGAGGTGGAAGGCGGTTTGTCAGGACCGGCCAATCCAATACCTAGTCAATCAATCGATTGCGGCTGCGGACAAATGCGATGCCCGAAACTGGCGAAATTTGCAACGCGAAAACTCTTCGTGGGATTGGTTTGTTGGATCGGTGTGGTGCAAGCTGCATCGTATGCTTATTTTCATGTGACGGGAACCACAATAGCCAGAAGATTTCAATTCGATCCTTATGTGATGGGTGCGTATATCATCGATAATGCAAAACTCCTATATTTAACTAAAAGAATTCTCGAAAGAAAATTACACAACGTTGTGTTCACAGAAATATCCGGGGCATGAAATATTTTTTCTGTTACATTTCGTAAAACATATTTTAATCTAAACTGTTATTTTAATAGTTACATAAGTCTTCAATATAGTTACATTATTTTTAACATATGCAAAACTTGGCGTCGGTAACTTTTTTCTTTCAAGAATTGCTTCGATAATAAAAAATAATTTCCTAAAGAAACTTATCTCTTTCAGATTGGATTCTTGTTGTAGCAGAATTGACGCCTATTATATTAGGATTGGCGATAGCATATTGGGGCGACAGAATACACAGAGCTGCGTGGATAGGAGCTTTAACACTTTTCCAAAGCGCCTCGTTTTTCATTTTGATAATACCCCATTTAACACATCGTGTTCGTGTGATCGAGGAGACACAGAACATCACTCATATGTCATTGTATGCGGGTTAGTGCCCGAAGCGTACAGTAAAATACAATTATTTTCTCACTTCCGTTGGTATTACTGTACATTAGTATTGCATAAATCACATTGGCATTTAATTAGTCAATAAACAAAAAATAATTTTCTAGGTCCTAAAATGGCGTTTAAGTTTCAAATTGAAAAGTAATTTTGTTCGCGTTAAAAATATATTTTGGTTTCAGATGATAGTCCAGAATTATGCATTCCCAGATCATCGAGGATCATCGTAGAGGAAGACGAACCGTGTTACTTTACTATGGTCGTCATAATTTTTGTATTAGTTGTAAGCGGGATTGCAAATATCACATACTATGCGCTGGGAATTTCTTACCTGGACGATAATACAAAAAAGAAAAACGTGACCACTTTTATCAGTATAATAATTGCCGTAAAGATTATCGGGGTCCTTCTCGGGTATTTCTTAGGTTGGGGATGCCTTCGGTGAGTGCTACAATATATTTTATTAAATATCCTGGTTATTATCATATTATCATTGCGTGTTTGCAATCATTAAGATTCAATTACATTAATTAATGATTGCGAAACAGACACAAGTATATGTATATTTATTTTTAAACTTATTTACTCACGTCGCAGGATAGACGCGGAAGATTTCAGTGTTATAAAATCGTATCAGGACCAAATCGGGGCGTGGTGGCTTGGATTCCCAATTCTCTCCATATTATTGGTAATTCCTGGCTTGCTGCTTTCGTGGTTCCCAAGAAGATTACCCTCAGAGGTATATACATAGAACATAAACACAAATTTCTAGATTAATTGGAATTCTATAAGGTTTTATAAATGCAAGTGTTTTTGAAATTAATACTAATCCACTTTTTCTTATTACATTACATTCTTTTTAAAAAAATCACATTTTTCAGTCATACTTACTTTGTTAGGTTGTCCAACAAGCTGCAGCTTCACTTCTCGATCGGACTGCGGTACATAACCGAGCACCCCATAGAACGGCCAATCAAAAGGTCGGCAGTCCTGATTTTTGGCCGTCATTATGCAGATTGGTTACTAACAAAATTTTAATATTCAATATTCTGGCAACGGTATTGAGCGCCACGGCGCTTCTAAATTTTATGGCGCACGAGGAGAGCTTCTTAGAGTCCAGATTTCACATATCCAGACCGACAGGAATGTTTCGTGGATTTAACGACCCACTATCTTTCAGACTAGTCGCTAGTAAGATTAATCAATCTCTCTATTAATGGGCATATAGATAGAAGGAAAATGAAATCTTAGCGATATCAGTTTAAAGATAAATTTTTGGAATATTTTGACAAAGTAAATTATCAATAGCTAATTTTTATACAGAAACAAAAAAACTAAAATTTGTTCTCTTTCTAATTAACATTCTGTAAGATTAAGTGTAGTAGAGTAAGGCATTATATAATTAAATTTCTTTTACTTATGCAAAAAGAATTACGTAACCGGTAAATGAATCACCATGATTAAATTACTGAGACTTAAAAAAAATCTAAATATATGTAATTTACGAGTCGCAAGGTGTTGTAGGAAGTTGAAATATTATGTGATAGTTGAAATAATTTGTATGTAAAATAAATATTCACGTTTCGTTCTAGCTATCGTGAGACCTGTTCTAATTGGACTGATCGTAGTCATCAGTGGCCTAGTATTAGCCAAGGCAAAGCCACGAGCGAGATTTGTTATTGGTTACAGTTTCGTTATCGTGCTTCTGACAATAGCGATTATCATCGCACTAATCTTTGCTGCTTGCGAGAAACCACCAGTCGTCGGTTTAGACAAAGGCTCGTAAGTGTAGGCCGATACGTAGAATTAACATTTATCGAATAGCAATAGTATCATTAAAAGTAAAGGGACAATGTATCTCATTCTGCGACGTTCTATTTCATCTCGTGATAATCGCATGGACAAGTAAAGATTTCTTGACTGATGCTTTTGCAGCGATACAATGCTGAGATATTGCAACAAAAACTGTCATTGCTCTAAGGACGCCGAATTCCGGCCGATTTGCGACAACTCGGGAAAGTTCACGTACTATAGTCCTTGCTATGCCAGCTGCTCTATAATTATTCACGTCAACAACGAGAAGATCTACAGCGGTTGCGGCTGCGTAGAGGATCTGGCAGGATGGAGTAATGACCAGGCGACAGATGGTTCGTGCAATTCGACTCAATGCCAGGCCGGCTGGATGCTTTTTGAGGTGACTACACCTTTTTTCGTTTTTAACACTTTGAGTGCCATGTCACTCGTCATCTGGATGTCGCGTAAGTTTCCGCAAATACTGGATTTGTGAATGATACTGTCTTATTCTCATCCGATTAAGAATAATTTTACTAAAAACGTAAGACATTTAAAGAGCAAAAAAATATTCAAATTCATCAGATTTATTAAATTTAATGCCGAAATCAGATTGGTACTCAAAGTGTTAAATACATAATATTATAATCAATTATATATTTTAATTGTGGCTTCTACTATATTTATAAATCTTGCAATCCAATCTGAACAATTGCAGAAGCAAAATTTTTTAATATGTTTCAGTTTGGAGCTGTTTTAGCGTATGTGTTGATCGCTTCCACCCTCGTCGGAGATTTATTGATCAATATAAGATCGGTCTACAAACAGGACAAAGCTATCAGCATAGGTTTCTGGATGATGTGGATCGGAGTATTCGTTTACGTTATTGGCAAAGTTCTTTACGAATTCGTCTCGCGTCAGGCGTGTCAATACTGGGGCAATCAAAAGATAGTCTGTCGCTTACACGATACCGACAAACTCGGGAATTACTTGTGCTATCTGACAATACTATTCTTATCGCTTAGTGACTTGGTCAAAATTATCGTTTGGTTTTTCTGCAAAGATTTACAGTTATACGACGAAGATAAAGACCGAGAAAATGTTGAGCTACAAGAAATGGTCGAACAAGCAACAATAACCGAGCTACCTGAAATATTAAACAATAGTAAATATCCTTTGCAAACGATTACTAAATTCAATTTCTCCATTAAGAAAACTATAGTTTCTTTTTATACAATAAATTCCCTTTTCTGTAGAATCAGCAATATAAGATGCAATGATATTTTCAGACGACGAAACGGGACAAGTGGAGGTGGTTGTTGAACCAGAATCAAGGACAGTACCAGAGACAGCCGAACTGAAAGAAAAATCACCGGAGGAAAAAGAAGATACTCAAAAGAGCACGCCTTTGAAGTATGGCTCGTTGGGTTCAGGCAATCCTCGGTCGAGCTCGAATCCACCGACAAATCACAATTCGCAATCGACGATTCAAAATCTCGATTCCGAGGACGAGCTAGACAGTTCGAGCGACGAGAGTAAGAAACGGTCGGGTACACAAGTCGCTTACACGCCGCTGGAACTCGACTCTGATGTCGAGAGCGACCTCAGTAGCGTCGGACCTAGATCGAGGAGGCGCATTCCGAGCAAAGATTACGATCAAGCTCACGAGAGCGATCGCCCATCGTCCAAGAACGCGTCTCTTGGACGTCAATTTCCGAATCCCGATCACTACGAGGATCCACGAGGAAATTCGAGATTCAAGAGTCCGAATAGTTATCAGAACGATCCCTTGCAGACAAGCAGCTCCGAGTTGGCGAAGAAGGGTCAAGAGAGCGACGCGCCCAAACAGGGCGACTTCAACGAAGTTGGCATACCGATAGTGGATCCGTTTCCGGACGGGAGGAGCAACTCGGGCAGTACTAACACGGGGCACGTGAAGGACGTGAAGTCGCTGATCGATCGATACGAGCAGAACGCGAGTCAGGAAACTCTAGACGAAGATCGCTTATCGGTGAAGTCGACAGAGGATACGAGAAGTCGACCGGAGAGTAAGATAGGTATACCTCTGGTCGCTATGGTACCCGGTAGGTCATCCTCTCGAGGACAGGCCTCTTCAGGTTTCGGTAGCTTGCCAGATGTGCAGGACAAGAATGACCCACATTCGGAGAGATCCGGTACTCCCAGTCCGAAAAATGTCGCTAAAGGCAGCAAAGTAAGGCATCAAACCGATCTTTAGATTCACGATCGGTCTTACGTGATAGATGACGCACGGCACATGAAAACGACGCGCAGTTTTGCAGATATTTATGGAGAAGCGAGTAAATCCACTAGTAGAATAGAAGCACTATCACGATAATTTTATATCTGCGAGCGATAAGAGGCTTTGACTACAAAAGTACACAATGCTGCACAATACTATCTCTGACACCTGTCGCATTTGAGATATAAAACCCCCCCAATTTAACATCGCGTTTTGATAGGCGAACAGTAAAATTTTATGTACACTCTCTTTACTTGCGAATCGTAATATCAGTATAAGTTGCTCCAATTATCATGCAGAAATATTGCGATCGATAAAGTTATTTTCATCTGTGACTCCAAATATTTCTAATAAAGGATAGCCGGCTAATAAAATATTTACTGTATTTCATGGCATACTTTCATATTTGCAGTTATCCTTTGTAAAACGTAACATGTGTATAACAACGTCCATTATGATCCTTCTGATATTTATTACACGATTAAAATCTATCACATTCCTAATTTTGTGGATTATTTCGCCTACCTGTTAGTAATGGTTTCCTGTTTCATAGTACCACCTTATATATGTAGATAAAAATTCCTTCTAACGCGCTAATAACAACGGATACATTATATTTCATTGAGTAGATAAATTACGGTGTTTTGTTACTACTTCAAGGTATAATCATTATATGTACAATCATTTAATTTTATAGACGATTCATATTAGTATGAATCAATATTTTCACTATCGACAAGCGATGTATACGAAGTATATATATATATGTACTTTATACATGTACTAATTTAGCACCCGTTTTTCGTTGGAACGTGAGTCCGAAATAAAACAAATATTCATATTATACGTACCTACAACGAATTATGAATTCATCGGTTACGGCGATAAAAATAATTAATAGTAGTAAATTAAAATTAGTAAAAGATCGGGTGGTCGCTCTTCTCTTGCGAACACCATGGGTGATCTGCTAACAGTCGATTCTATCTAGGTTACTACGAGCTTTAAATAGCTAAGAAGGTGCTTAAGGTACTTGTAAAGTCTTTATTTGTCGGTTCTCGCTCGCTTCGCATTCGTCGTTCGATCCTTCTTGAAGATCTTCGATCAAAGTCTTTCTTCACGCGTAATGAATACGCCGAAAAGGTGATTGAACTTGATCATCAATTATTCTTTAAAGTGTCTCACCGGGCTCCTCAGCTATATCTTTTAGCTCGATCTCCTCGTCGAAGATCTTCACGTCTTTGACGAAATACCAGACGCCCACGTCGAATATCGTGCCGATCGTTACGAAACCTGAACAACAAAGAGATTGTGATGCACGAACAATTGTATTCTTCAAATATCATCGTTTTGTAAGATACTCACTGGCCGCGGTGAAGTTCAGCAAATACCTCAATACCTCGCCATTGTACAGCCAGCAGTTTCCCGTACCTGAACAAGTTTTACCCCACACGAGACAGGTATTGTCTAAAAGATAAAATATTAATTAATCTCCAAATAGAGAGCGTGTAAGCAAGCGAGTGCGTAAATATAGAGATACATGAAGTAATCGGTCGACTTGCGAACAGAGACATGGAATATTACTGAAAAAAAAAAATAAATAGAGACATCGGAGTCTTGTTTGCTGTTTGATAATAACAATTTGATAACGTTAGGCAATCTGTCTCTGTCGATGTTATTAACCGCGCGCGCGTGTACAAATGAAGTTTATCACTAACCTAATATAAATCCAAACAAAATTGGCGACGGTATGAAGGCAAAGAGGCTCATTATCATTAATCCGAAGCCCATGGCGACCGCCTTGTCCTTCTCGTCGACGCATCTTACGGAGACTAGGAAGTTCGACGCTCGTCCAGTTGCACCGCTAAATTTCAAAAGACACACCACCGCCAGAAAGATGTAAAATTTCTGCATACAATCCACTGGACACGAGCCCGGAATAGCAGTCCCCAAAGGTTCCACTGCGTCGGTCGTTTCCCATGGGACTTCGGTAGAAAATGGAAAGGATGTGACGTTGGCAAACGAATGCGCCAGGGAACGAGCCAATTTCGGTTTCACGCAGCTACAGTCCGTATAAACTTTGCTGCCGTTAGTGTGAAGCTAAAGAAAAAGTATACATTTAATAGAATAATGGAGAAAAAATACAGCAAATCTCGTCTTGTAGGGACTTGAGAATTTTCTAACATTGAAAAATTGCTTGACAAAAATTGTCTATTCGCCTCGGAAGAGTTCCTCCACCTTTAAGTAATCAGTTTTTCTCCCAAGGCGAGATTGCTTTTCATCGAGAGATAGTGTAAAATGATATCAAACCTTTATGCCACGACAGCCAGCATGACACGCGGATATAAACGTTTGTCCGTGCTCAGAGCACACGGGATTATAGGTGACGTAGTCGCAGTGGCACTGCTCGTTACAGGGTAGTTGCGTTTTTAAAACACCGTTAGGCTGAATGGCGATCTGGTCGTCGTTCGCCGAGCAACCGAGAAAGGCGTAAGAGATCATTCCCAGTATCGATATAATGCCAATCATGACGTTCCACGCCGCCAGGTATCTAGCCTTCGGCTTGTACTTGGAGATGACCAGACCGGACAGCAAAATCCCGAAGGCACTGAATACCAAGCCGACCGTGCCGGTGATCAACGACGAGACGGACGCCGATTGCTTGTACTGGGTCTCAATGTACTTCGGCATGAAGATCCAGTAGGGCATGTAGCCCATGAAGTAGAAGACCGTCGCCAGATTGTTGCACATCAGAGTCGTGTTCGTCAGCAGGCGCTTAAACGTCTTCAGCATGTCCGAGATAGACGCCGGTAGCTCCGATTCTTGCTCGCCCTTAATGCTCGCGGCCGATTTATTGCGTTCCAGGGCCAGAACTTTGCGTGCGGCCGCTCTCGGCAAGGTCTTCGGGAAGAGAGCGATCACGCTTGCGAAAATGAAGAGGAGAATGGCCAAAATGATCCATCCTAACCACCAAGCGCCTAGCCACCTGAAATGTCATATAAATTTATTAGATATAATGTAATTTTTTTTAAGCATCAATATATTATATCACATAAATCGCTTTGATTTTGATCAATAAATCGGCAAATCGCTTTAACGATACCTCGGGTCTTGCATCGTGATAGTGGGAGTTAAAGTCGGGCTAATGTAGAACTTCAAGGAGAATGAAGCCAGTCCGTAGCCGATGGCGGGTCCCAGCATTCGCAGAAAGTACGAGAAACTGATGAGCGCGGGCGTTTTCGACTTTTGTATGTTGTCGTCCATGTACGACACACCGAGGGTGTAATAAAGAGAACCACCCACTCCGGACACCAGTTGAGCGATGAAGAGGAGCACCTGCGGCGCGAAGTTTCCATCTTCGACCTCGCAATCCGTCCCACGACCTTCTTTGCCCAAACAGAGAAACTTGCGTTGTTTGTCGGAAATCACGCTTGTGTTCAGCGCATTTTGCAGCTTCGTATTCCCATACTCTTTAGTCAGCGACAGGGCATCTTCGCCGGGCCCGTAGAGAAAATGCGGTAACATCGTAAGACAACAGAAAAGTACAACCTGATGAAATAAACAACGGGGCATTATTTAAATATTCGGGAACGATCTGTACCTAATCCGCGAGTTTTTAAGTGCATAGTACTTTTTATTAATTCCATCTTTATTATTTCTCATTATTTTTTATCATTTATTATCGTATCATAAATATCGCAGCACGCTCAACTATCCGCTCAACATCCAGAGCATTCCGCAAGCGCCTCTTTACTGTTCGAAGAATGGAGCGCTTAGCTAAGCACACGACGACGAGAGTACGATGGCAAGAGGCATGAATGAGCGTAGCTACGATTCTAACACTTCCTAATTTAATTAAGAACCGACCAATCGGTGAGTTATGACGTCTACCGGCTCGTTCCTCGGGGCGTGTGCCGACAGCTGATTTCGTTTCTTGCCGACGCGAAAGTACAGCGCGCGAATAATACGCGATGCACGCCGCACTAATCGCAAATGTCGATATCCGTGGATACGTGTGGTAAAACTTACGGTGTAAATACCGAAAGCGATCCATCGAGGCCTGTGACCCCTTCCTGCGTAATACGACAGGGTGACGGATACGAAAAGCTGCGAGATGTCGTTACCCACTGTGATGAGACCTGCATGAGAAGAAAGCGCATACGTGGCGTAAATTGTGCCGTAGCAATTCATTTAATGACATTCCTCACGCGAACGCTAATTTCCACGTTGCTTTGGAAATTTCAAACTTGATTACAAGCGCAATAGAACAGCATTTTAAATTGTTAAAACGAATAAGCTGTAATAACGCTTATACATTTTCTATATAAAGCAAATTAAATAATTGATAAAAAGTTTTTTGCACAAAACTAATGAAATTTTAACAGAATTAATAAAAATATAACGCCAAAGTATTGACTATAATCAATCAATTTATTTATCGGCCTAAATTCAGGATAAGTAATGCCAATTTTTAACAAATGTTTCATAGATTTGTTTTATAAAAAAGCTTCGAAATACTAATGTAAAATCTTTCCATTTTTCCAATGTTTGTGAGTTACAGCTATCTCTACGATACACAGGAAATATAGAGCACTTAAGTATAACAACACGTATCGTACGTACCCGTCGTTTTCGAGGGTATTTTAAATCTCTTTTCGATGGTGGTGATGGTACCGTTGAAATAGGCATAACTGGCGGAGAATATGCAGCCGAGTACACCGTAAAGAAACACGTATGCCTTCTTGTTGGCGAACTTTTGCAGATTCGGACCCTTGAGGCACCATATGCCGCACGAAGTGTCGTCGGTGATCGGCAGCTCCTTGAAGACATCGTCGAGACCTCTGGTCGGCGTCGTGGGTGTCGATGGTGTCGCGGGCGGCGTCGTCGGCACCTGGAGCAGCTTCAGGTTCTCCGGCCCGTTCTTCTCGTGATTCGAGTTGCTCGAGTTGTTCTTCATCTTCGCCTCGACCTGATCGTCGCGACTGCCCCGCAGCTGGCAAGCGCCTAACACCAGTGGCTTCGAGCGAATTCAGTGACCTCAATCGCGGGTCGCACGATACCGATGTGACTTGATCGTCCTCGCGACTCTTGGCATCGCTTTTTCGTTCGGCCCGGACTCGCCCCCGCGCTCACTCGCGGAATCTACTCTTCTTCCCCTCGCACTGTTCCTCGTGTCCCGTCACTTTATCACGCGGTCACGTGTTCTCCATGTTTCGACCTGGTCTCGCTCGGACAACACCTACACTAGGAAATCTGGGGGTTGACTGCGACTGTCGCTCGTGCGGCTCGATGATTTATGCTTACGGGGATGATCAATGATGTCGATGGAGAGAGTTAAGCCTTAAGGCAGACTGAAGATAAAGTATTTGTACAGCAAACGCTGACGCCGAATGCCAGACAATATTATCAGACTGTTGGAACGGTATTATCAGAATGATACTCAAACGATAATTTGAAAAAAGAATAATGAGAATGTAAAGACTCGATTATGCATCAAGTAGATGAACCCTGTAGTTTTCACCTAAATAACAAGTGTTACAATGAATTGCTAATCATGTAGAGTTGTTGTGAAATGAGAAACCTGGTATGTCTGTGTTATACGTAAATTGAATTACAAGAACGAACGATCAATAATATCGCGAGCGAGAAGTTGACGAACCGCGGCCACCTACCCGCTGATGCAGGATGGACCCGAGTTTAGTTCGAACGATCGAGCGCGGTCGCCGTAGCGGAGTATTAATGTGCAGCGGCGGAGGTCTCTGTTAAAAAGTAAGGTCCGTCGATCGATCGCCGATCGCTCTGCGGCCGCGAGCCAGCGTGGTTCCCCGCGAAATATAGATTCGCGTCCGAAAACGAGCGATATTCTTCCGCAACTGAGGCGCCTAAACGCAACAGAGTGCAGGCCGTGTTCTATGCCTACTGAGGATCCCCACCTTTCGCCCCCCAAGGAGCCGATCGTACGAGAGAGAGCCACGATCTCCTTACACATGCCTACTATCCACCGTGTCGTTATCAAGCGGGTAAATTCTGTCTCTCGCAATCAGCCTATTCCTCCCCTCCTCCCTGTCGCTCTCTGTCTCCTCTCTCGTTTTCCTTTTGGTTGTCTCTCTCTCTCTCTCTCTCTTCTTTTCCCCCCTAGACTGGCGATTCTTTCAATCCCTCCTTCCACGACTAGGAACTAGCCGACCACGAATATCGTCGGCTCGATCTATCTTGGTCTATCTGATAACCTGCACCTGTAGGAACGATGCCCGAAAAGGAGTAGGGATGCGGGGTTGACTCCTACGCAGAAAAAGAGCAATTAGCGGGGTAAGCGCTCGGCGCCCCGTGCTATTGCGAAATTGGATGTGCGAATCAGACGGCGAAGCCGTAAAACACGTCTTACTGCTGCTGCTACCGCGGCCTGGCGGCTTAATTTCGAGCTCCTCTCATAATCATTACCTGTGAGTTATTAATAAATTAATTGCCACGCAACACCGAAATCAAGCTTCGTTCAAAAGTTCATTTTCGAGGCCTTTCCATGTCACTTAGTCCTCAAACAATTACCTAGTTTTCGATATCACTAATTGTATAACACTCCGTGTTAAGCGTTAATTTATTATTCTTTCCGTACGTTGCGATAAAAAGTGTAAAATAATATTCATTACTATTGTACCGGTGATTCGCAACTTTTGAATAACGTGCTATCCTTGTCCGGCTCTCGATAGCGCGGCGGGAGAAAAATTGTCGAAATAGAAGAGGCGTCGTGTGTATTTGTACGTAATATGTGCGAATCGAAAGAGCAGCTTTCGGGAGCGTTGCTCTACCCCCGAAACCTCGGCGTTGAAATCTCGACGTTGGTGAAACGGGGCATCCCTCGAGTGCCTATTCGCGACGTACGGTCCACGGCGACGTGCACGAGGTCTTGGCTTTCGGTGCGGTGTTGTCTAAGCTCGTTTCTAGTCAACCTCCGGGAGCAGAGGCTCACATTGTGGACCCATTATGATTTAATAGAGCCGACGTGATGTACACACGCGCGCACACATAGGCACTCGGTAAACTCTTCCGTCTATTCCCGCGCATTGCTAATGGCATACATCAAACAGCTATGTCGCTAATAGCTGACGGGTAATTGCCGAAGTTTAATTTTTATAGCAGCCGAGAACGGCCGGTTCTCCAAGCGGCCGAGCGTTACGGTCACGCTGTTAGATTTCGGGCGGTATCGGTCGTTCCGATTAAATATTTGTCAAAAGATCATTAATAATTACGGACAAACGGTTTCGAGCTTTGATTTCGCCTACGTTGGACGTTCATCTCTTCGTCTCGGTAGCATTTAATTTGTTCGCCCTAAGCAAGATACTGTTATCGCATGATGGATTTAAAAAGGAAAGAGAAAAAAAGAATTACATTCTTGTTATTCGAAGTAATCTTAAATAAATATCTGGCTATCACCTTACGCGCCTTGAGCAGAAGCGATAGTATAAAATGACGTTTAATACAAATTTTCTTATCACGACGGTAATCTGTATGCCTAAATGACTACCCAAACTCCTGTATGTGTACGTCTCAATTGAAACAAATAACTTGGCGCAATAAGAGAATCTTGAAACGATTGATTTATTTACACGATGAGAGCTTGTTAGATATTTGTAAAGTGAGAAATCTGAGAAAAATCATAAAGATCGATTCAGGCGCGAAATCGAGTTATCAGTTAAATTATATCGAATTAGCCATGATTTCGTTTCGTTTTGCAAACTGACATTCGTCGTGATTTGCAAGAAATGTCTTCCCTGCGGTATTTGTCTGCTCACAAACCTGCCGAGACAAATGAAAATTTACATCTACGATAAGAACATCATAAATACACCGCGGAATACACTGTGTGTACACAAATTTCTTGGAAACTTCGATCTGCCGTTTGATGCATGCAAATAAAATCTTCGCAGAAGTACTCGATATCAATTTACTGACACGTTGAAAGCCATTGCTGTAGAAGAGATTCTACAGCTACCAAGTTTTACTTTTTATGTAACTCGTAGTTTTGCGCATAAATTGGATTCGTTGTAAACTATAGAGTACATGTCACTTTAAACCTTCGTTCGTACAGCTTTCGCGCAATTACAGAATTTCTTGATTATCGCCAAATCGGCGAACATATTCCGTCACTCGTCACAGAAATATAATTATTAAATGTTACTTAAGTAAATACTGATACACAGAAGCTAAGTTGATATTCTTCGCAATGTACTGTAACCGTCAGATTTATGACACTTCGAAGCGCGTGACGTTGACCAGATTTAAGAATGGCGAGACGCCTTCCCATTGCTGAAAAAAATCCAAATCCACCGTGATTTATAAACTCTGTATTTGCGTGGTTCTCGGCGAGATGTTTACGCAACCTGAAACGCGTATATCACTCGAAGGCTGTGCCACCTTTTTGGATCGGGACGATGAAATTGAAGGAACTCTTCCCCGCAAGATTTCGAATCCACGGATATCCAATGTCCTATTAATAGTCGTTAATTGTATCATTTTTACTTTGTATGCCAATGTTTTGTAGATTATTTACGACTTACATTAAAAGATAATAAGAAATTCAAGTCGTAAATTTGAGAAGTGGTGATAACTCTACGAATTCTTTAATATATGTCGCGTATTAAATGATCAAAAATTTGCCGGTGTGAAACTAGATAAGATAACAAAACAATTTTTAGTGCACCGTCAATCTTAGAAGACATGCAGTTTGAGAATTAAGTTAGATTACGTTGGAATGATTAGACCATTTTCATTCAGTTACGTTACGTTACGTACTGCAATAATCCGCAAAATGTATTTGCTACATTTTTATTATATATTTACGCTTCGGGGACACGTGTCTCTCGCACGATATCAATTCCGTTGCAATTTCCCTTTGTATGATATCCCATTGCACATGATAAGTTAACTTACAAAGTACAAGGTTACTTCACCAGTACATAGACAAATTTCGTCAAGCGCTTTAAATGGCACAACCCACTTGCGTTTGTAAATTACGCAGCATTCGTAGAATGGCAGAAGGAACGCCGGATGAGCTGCATTAGTATCATTATTATTACGGCAGAGGTAATGGCCAAGTATTTTTCACGAGCTGCATTCTAAGGCCTTTACTCGCGATTAGTTCTTTATGCCACCTGCCTGCCCAGCTTGTGTCGTTGCGTGCTAATATGCCGGTTTTTGCAAAAAAAATAATTTATCTCTATTAAGAAAAGAGCAACGCCATGTCAAATGTGTTATGATCGTGTCGTCTTCAGAAGAAAAGAAAACCTCGAGTTGGATCAAGCATAATCGATAATAAAAGCGGCGCGATTCTTGAGCTTGGAAGTGGTGGAAGGTAAGTAAACCGATTGCTTCCGGTCATCTATACCACACACCTTCTGTCCTTCTTTACCGGGCAGTCTCGCTACTAGTCTGATCGGACTGTACCTCGACTTAGAAGACGTTGATGAGGTCTATATGAAAGATGGGTCAGGGTCATGCACAATGCAACCGTGTACACACAACAGCAAAACTTCCCAATATCAGGTCGAGGCGCGAACAAGTGATAGCTTCTACAATAGAAATTTGTACGTGTTAAATATATTTATTTATCTTTAAAAGATATTATCACAAAAAGATAACGATCAGTAATTTACTGTAAATAAATCTGCCTCTCTTCAAATTATAAGATAGTTATAAAAACAATTGTAAAACGATTACCTTCTGTGTCAGGTTCCTTGCGTAACTTCTATAAAATTATAATACTATGCATAAAACATGCAGCCATTTCTTTCCTTGAGTTTTTCTTCAAATTAAATTATTCCAACAACGCAACGAAAGATTGATAGAGAATTTTTTAAAATAAATTTCGCTGCATCATCATCAACGACGTAGCAACGAATCCTCATTCGCGTCAGTGTTACAGACGTTGCTAGCCGCCTCATAGACCTCATTTTTCCTTATTTGCGATGGAATAAGGTAGAACGCTTAATCGTAATGCCGAAGCGCATCCTCTAATGGTGTTCCGAAGGATGCGATCGATAGGAACGACCTGACGTCACGGGAACGTCGCGGAATTCATTACACGGGCCAAGCCGCCCGCTTTAGTTGGGTGGGCTTAAAAATTAAAAGGCTCTCAAACAAAAACTCCCTTTTTACCGTCAGCCTCGTGGGATGTAATCCCTCCGTCCGGTAGTGGCCCGTATGCCCCCGCCGAACCCCCGAAATTCGGTGGCTTGAAGACAAGCCTCGAGACTTTACTTCCATCTTCCATCGTCTCGACGCTCGTCCCCTCTCATTCTAAAACTGAGAAGCGAGCACGGTCTATTCACCGATCCACGGTGTAGTTTTTCGAATAAACCCTTTCGTCTCGCGGCGTGTTATATCTTACTCGCGGGAGATTTGGTGAGCGATAAGGCAATAAAGGGTGAATACCTTTTATCAAAACAACGGATCGTTCGAACTTACTTGATCGAAAATCGCGGAAATGGAAACGACAATTAAAATGTAGAAATAATTTTTGTAAAGTTTTCCCGAACGGAAGATTCGGAGGAAAAGATAAAAAATGAAAAGTTTTCGAGTGTGGAACAGAACGCGACGAAGCCTGAGGGTAATAACGTGTTAACAAAAAATAAGCGCAATTTATTTACAAAGAAATAGGAATGAGTATGATTCGGAAATAAAGGTTTAACAACGAAATTGTAACAACGATAGCTCCAAGCTTTCGATTCCGAGCGTTTAGAAGCTTGAGAGTTTAACAATCAAGGTGCATTATACTAACGTTATTTACATGATTAGCTGATGCCGCTAATAGAAACATTGCACTATCTATAAATCATCGGAATGTTCAGCGTCAGTCACGAAAGCTCCGGAATTTCAGGTACCTAGAGCAATTCCACAAATCTTATCGGATTTGTCCATTGTTGGACAGCAGCGTTATAGACGACTGTGCTCTGTCCTCTGATTTAAATTCCCATTAACTTCCTTCCTCTTGTCTACATTATCAATCGCGACGTCTTCCTTCACGAACTCGCGTCTCTTGTCACTCTCCGCGGCGCCATACAGATCTAAATCTTTGCCGAGATAGCAAACCGCACCGTCGAATAGTACCCCTATCATGGTAAATCCTGTAACATGACGAAACGGTGCTTCTTTGTAACCGAGGTGGCGAAATCAAACGCACACGATGCTCGAATCAACAATCGATTAATAAAATCATTTTGTCCCTTGTCCGACAGCTTGCTCTTATCTACTGTAATTTTTTCGTTCCATTTTTATCTAATCAGCCTCGCGGACAAACACATGCAGCTAGTGAAATATAGGTCGTTAAACTCGACGAAACCCACCGGCCGACGAGACGTTCACCAAGTATCGGAAGTTATCCCTGTGATAGAACCAGCAGTTTCCTTTAGTCCCACAGGACTCCTCCCATATCAAGCAAGTCGAGTCGATGATAGCCCCATAAATAATTGGCCCCGGAATTAGAGCCAGCAACGAGACGATCATCAGCGTGATGCCCTGGGCGAAACTCTTGTCCCTCTTTTCGACGCTCCTGTAGTTCACCAGAACATTGCCGATTTTCCCGGAACAGCCTAGCGAGTGGATCACGCAGGTGAGCACCGTGAAAAGCAAGTACGGCCGGTTGCAGTCACCGGTGCACGGACCAGCTCTGACCGTATCGAAGATCGACGGGAGCGCCTGCGAGTCGGGCAGATACATCTGCTGCTCCGAGATGAAAGCCGCTTCCCTACTGTTGCTGAAGTGATCGAAGTGGCCTTCGATATGGGTGGGTTCGTCCAACGGCAGACAACTGCAGTTCCCGAACTGCTTGTCGTCCAGAATCGTTCGGCATCCCGCGTGACAGGCGGAGAAGAAAGTTGTCTTCGACGCCTCGTGGCAGACCGGCGAATATTTGACGCCTGCACAATTGCAATCGACGTTGCAACCGTCTGTCAAATTCATTCTGCGAATGAAGAAAATTTGTAGCGATTAGGCGGGATGCTAAAATTTGTGATCTCTATCGAAAGACCAAATTCCAAATATACCTACTGCATAGTCTTCAAGTCTACACCGCGAATTCCAGCGTCTGTGCAGCCAAGAAATATGAATAATATTTGTCCCAGGACGAAGCAAATGCCGACGAGTACATTCCACGCGAGGAGCGGCCTGGGACCCGGTTTGAATTTGCTAATTATTAATCCCGATAACAAGAATCCTAATACCATACCGACTAGCGATATGGGGCCTGTGAATTAGAACAAAGCAACGTGTTACAAGTATGCCGTTACTGTTAAATGATATACAAAAAGTAACAAAAGAATTTTTTGTCGCAGAAAAATCGATTTTATTTCCTATAAGAATAAGCTAGCAATTATCTTGAAATCTTGTGAAAGCGCTTTTGATAGCAATTAAATGTTATCGCGTAAAATATTTTTGAGATAACGCGCGGAGTAATTGATATACATACTTGCAGCTCAAACAACAATGAAAGTTAAATTGTAGTTTAATATATGTTATTAACGTATGTACCTGCTATCACGGTACCGCCAGCCGCGGACGTACCGTATTGGACTTCAAGATACTTCGCCAAGAACGTGATATAGGCGGAAGCGCCAAGTATGTAAAATACGGCGCTTAAATTGTTGCAGGTCAACAGCCAGTTTGTTAACAGCCGTTTCATGGCTTTTGGAAACTCACGGATCGTCGGTATGTACTCATTGTCAGTTTCCAAGGGCATTGGGTTGGTGGATTCCATCTGTATCGGAGGCTTTTGCTGCAGCACTAAATCCAACTTCAAAGGTATTTCGCCGTCCTGGGACAAGGTTTTCGTTAATTAATTTATAGGGACTTGTAATCCATCAGTGAGTCATCTACATAGATTTGTCTTTTTATAATTTTATAAACTAATGTTTTCGCAAACTTTATATCGGCTGAGCTTTTCGCAGAAAGTCATTATTGCTTTCGTACAGATTAATAAATAGAGAAAAGTCTCCTGTTATGAGATAGCGGAGTTTCTGCTAAATTAATAGGCATCATCTGTTGGTTCCATCATAAATGTATTGCTCTTGGAGTAAAATTTGTTTAGTAGAACATTCATTGTCAGATTGTGTAATCGTTGCGAAAAAAGATTGCGATCGAATTTGGATGTTGAAAAGCTGTTATCTTATATTAGAAGATATCTAGTAATAGGGGACTTTCCCCTCTATATATAAAAACTAATCAATTTTTACTATAAATAAAAATTACACGTGTATTAATTTCGTTTCATTAGTAACTTCTAGTTAATAGATAAAATACCAATAAAATACCTTTTTAATTTCAACAACGTTATAATGTCCAACGTAAATTGTACCTACCGGCTTAGTCTTTTCAGATGTATCTTTCGACGCGGGAAGATCACGTGGAAACATAGCGATCAAAACGGCGAACATACCCATCGTAGCGCTAAGAATGATCCATCCGAGCCACCACGCACCCAACCATCGCGGATCTTTATTCGTAATAACGGGATGGAGCTTCGGGTCTATGTATAAACTCAGGCAACCATAGCCCAGCAAAAATCCGATCGCCGGACCCACGGTACGCAAAGCGAACGTAAAACCTTGCAAATAGAATTTCAATTCATGTTAAATCCTATTTTAATTCATGTAATGCAACAATTACGATATCACAGAAAATTGCGTAGTCTGAAAAATTTACTATTGAAACGTAATTATAAATTCGAACCAAATTTAGGATATTCTACCGCCAGCAAATATTAAAATAATTAACATGAATAATCCGACACCACTGGCAACAGGAAAGAAACTTTCTTTATCAGTCATGGTCCGTCATCTCTTTAGCAATGTTCTCGTGTAGCAAACCTCGACACGGAACCTTTATAGCATTTTACGACTACAAATACAATCTATTTTACATCATCAAAATACACGCGAATCCATGTACATGACTTTCTCAGTCAGATCGCTTGAAAAGGACCAAAACCCATGGTCCAAACTAGACATAAAAATTGCGAGATACGGTCAACCAAATTTAACGTTGTTCCTTTATTAGTATAATAATTCGCCCATGTGGTCAAATGTCATCGGACACCAATTCAAATTATCAATACGCAGACCTTATATCGCTCTAGATACGTATCATCGCTATAACAGCGCGTAAGTGAGACAGTTTCAATTCTGCGTTGTTACAGCGATGATACGTATTTAGAGCGATATAAGGTCTGCGTATTGATAATTTGAATTGGTATCCGATGGCATTTGACCACATGCCATGCGCCATTTGAATTAGTTTGGTTGCACTTGATAAGAGCCAAAACCCATGGCCGAAACGTTGTGCTAATAAAGGAAGTTTTCCTGTTGCCAGTGGTGTCGGATTATTCATCGTAATTATAAATACTCACAATATAAATGCTTATAAAAATCAGATAAAATTATCAGAATATTCCATTCCAAGTATAACCAGACGCTTGGTCAGATCTTATCTTGAATTCGCTCTTGAGATATCGCAATATTTATCAGACACGCCAAGAGAACCGATTAGTTATTACAACGCATTAGCAAGAAGCGCTTTTACTTTTTATATTTATAAGCAAAGATGAATTTAGATTTCGTGCACTTTTGCCAGCTTAAATCTACCAATGTTATCAAAATAACACAGAATTTATTAATCGATGCTCACCTAAGAGCATAGGTGTATTTTTCTTCTTCGTGTTGTCGTCTAAATACGTCTGTCCCAGACCGTAATAAAGAGTAGTTCCGATACCGAGAATAAATTGAGATATGAAAATCAACAGTCGAGGGAGGTAACTAGTGCTCGACTTAGTTTCGGCGTCGCAAAGTTCCGGCTGGTCCGTGCGCGGACAAATCGCGAGGTCGTTCGGAACATTCGGAACACTTGTCATGTTCAGTAAGGTCTGATCCAGATATTCCTTCGTCAGTGCCAAGGCGTCCTTTCCAGGACCGTATATGAAGTGCGGCAGAGCCAAAACGAGACAGGACAATGCGCTCAAGCCGACCCCAACCGAGATCCATCTTGGCCGATGACTGGATCCTCCGTAGTAGGTCAAGATCAGGGACAAGATCTGAGAGATCTCGTTACCCGAAAGGATCAACCCTGTGATAATAAGAAAGTTACACGGACACGTGATAACCTTACATAGCCCCTCGATGCGATTACTTGTTTTCAGTTCTAGTCCTTTTGCATTTTGGCAATTTTCTTCTAGGCACATCGAAATTGGATGTAGTTACGTGAAATTTCGTGTTTCTTCGATACCAGATAAAATTTTTCTTAATTCATAGTTAATTAACTCTGTATATGAACCCGGAGCTCTCGTAACATCGCAAGGAGAACGCTATTCAGATACTAAATACCGCACATATGGGTCGATCGCTTGTTAATGAGGCTATCAGTTGACTCGTAATTCGACATGAAAAATCGGAACATTGTGATATGACAATAATATATATATATTCATCCATTTGACACGACATCCATTTTACGCAAAGCAGTACGATTGATATCCGCAGCAAGTGTGCAAAATAAATTTCACATATGTATAAAAAATGTCGTCACTACAAATGAAAAGAAATTTCAGACCCTTAGAAGAAAAAATAATTTTTATTAAATTAAACAAAAGTATTTAACCAACATAATGGTTTAGATTAGCACAAGTGGCTTGCTCATTTCTGTTTATCGAATGCGATATTGCAAACAAAGGATCACTTTATCATTTTCAGTACGTGAGTATCACTCGTGAATAATCCTCTCCTGATCTGTTACTTTTAATTTTTCAAGTCGTTTCATGAAGAAAATGTTAAAATGTTGTGTGTGTGTGCGTGTATGTATCAGAAATCAAACATCAAGAGGATACGCCGTATTGTTTAATGTATTAAATTAATGTGATAAATATCACGTCGTGAGAACGCACTTGTTCGAAACACGTTAATATTTCGAGTATTGCGGCCAACTACAAAATCGTGTAATGCATATCCGCGTGTCTTCGCTCTTCAATGCATATATAGTGCTCGTTATACGACAGATTTGTCACTTCTATGATTGCGACACACTACTTACCTACTAGATAGACGCACACGGAAACGCGATTCGTGCGTGTGCAAGTACGAGTACTTATACGCGAGTATACCCGCGGATGCTCGACTGCTCGGCTTTGCCGGCAATGGGATCCGAGGTTGAAGGCGATTAAGACGAGATGACGTTCAAAGTTCTGCCGTGTCGAGATAAAGCGCGGTGTCGACTATGAATAATTTACTTCACGTCTGAGTTTTTCTCTAAACAGACATTTAAGCGCCACGCCGAGACTAGTTGGTCGCCGTACAGAGTCCCGATCGCAAAGCCGCGTAGATTCGTACCCGTAAACGATGTGTACCTTCGTCAATATTTGCAAAATGAACTACAGTCGCCACGTCGTCAAGTTTTATTATATGTGATTACGGGAGTGAGGCTCACCGGTCGTACGACTGGGTATCTTGAACCTCTTCTCTAGAGTTGTCAGGGTGACGACGATGTAGATAAAGGCCATTGCCTGGACGGTGCCCAGCAAACCGTACACCGCGATGAAGTTCCTCGGGGTGGCGCGATTTTCCAACCATCTGGGATAAATCCCACATATTCCACAATCTTTACTCATACCTCCGGTAGCCTTTAAAAAGATTGATTAGCGGAATCTTGCCTTCCTTAAGTCTACACAGAGAGAATTTTCTCTTAAAATTTATCCCAAAAATCGTATAATCGTGGGACAACACATTTCGACGAATTTTATGAGCGTTTTCTCAAATTTTACCATACATTTTACGAATAAAATGTGCACTAAGTACAATTACTAGTAAGCTGTATGGTAAAATTTCAAAAGACTCTCGTAAAGTTCTTCAAAATGCCATATTGGCCCACGATTACACGATTTTCAGGATAAATATTGAGAGAAAGTTCTCTCCGTGTAGATTAATTTACGCTTAACTCGTCAAAATCCACAAAGTTCAGGCTCTGTAAGCGCAGCAATTGTAATAATTTATAAGACCAGTTTTATAGCGCTTGCAAACCTTCAGTTATATCTCATCGTTTCTTTTTATATTTATTATCTTCATTTCTACTGATATCTTCATATTTTAAGCTCGATACCACTCAATAAACTCTGATGTTATAACGTGTAAAACTGGAAGCAAAAACGTAGAGATTTATTTGCGATAATGCAAATAAATTGCGCGATAATTGATACATAGCATTGACAGTCGTATTAAATCGTATTCAAATTCTCGTCAGCTCTTGCCGCAAACGATTTCTAACCAGCTTCGCGAGATCGGCAATGTTTTGCATTTACTCCGACGAGAGCGTTCCGGAGAATTAAGTTTTGCGATAAAAGCGCCCCGATGATACTAATTAAGTCAATGCGCTATATGAAATATAATGCTTAAGCGGAAAAACATAGTCATGATGATAACAGCAGTCGATAACGGTGACTTGCATTCTCGATCGCGAATGGTCTAGACGATGATGTTACATGTGCCGAAGCATAGGAGAAAAAAAAAGGGATTACGAGGCCGCAAACGCCTGCGGTGTTTTCACGTCGCTCGTGGTCGATGACTGCAGACGCATTCAATTTCTAGTGCTCCTACACACCGCAGCGTGAGAATTCGATGAGCATGAGACACGTACGTGCAATACAGGACGCGATAAGGCCGCTATCTTTCATCATAAGTCGCGTAATTATTACTACGTTAATGTAGATAATAAATCTCGTACGTTGCTAACGCTTGGCAGGTACGTCGGCATAGCATAACGACAGTAACAATGACATGTTCTGAATATACGCAAACACATCCGTTACGCAACTCACTTTTCGATCGCCAGAAGACGCCAATCTGATCTCGCTGGCGTTTACAATGCGAATATCCATAAACCGGGAGCGCGCGAAAAGATAAACGATAGCGCGTTTAACCAAATTTCAAGTTCAATCCTACTTTCCCTACTTATCCTACTGTTTGAAATTATAATTTCACGTGTTAACGATAATGTATATTATTATTAAAATCACAAATACTCCTCACTGCGTCTTCGTAAGTTATAGACACGTAATTATATACACGCGCAATTATTTGCGAATTTATAGAAATACAAATGTGATAAATTTAATAAATTAATTAAGAATAGCGCATCAAACTTACTTGACTTCTTGACTCGACCGACAAAATCGAAGAAATGAAGTTGAGAAATATTTTGCACTCGCAATAACGCGAGTCTCAGCAATATTTACTGTAAGCAACAATCTAATCTACAAATCTAATTAAGCAGCTTATCGTGCCAATAAATCATCCAAATATATACCTGCCATATAACTTCTGTGCGTCGACATTCGTCAGTGAAATATAATACTTATTTTAATTAATTTTTAATATAACGAGACCATACGTTAAAAAACTTCCTATTTACTTTTAAAATTCCGAACAAAGGAAGGGATTGTAAAATCCCCTCTCATTTCATGAAGAAAGTTAAAATTTGCGAATCTGTGTTTGTACGTTCGTTTTTCATGACTTTGATTTACAGGATACTTTGTTAGTGTTTGACATCAAACATTTTATGAAATATTCAGTTGTAAATTACTATGTTAAAAGGCTGCATAATTATTTTGTTAATAAAACTCTCAGAAACTGACTTTTTATTTCACTCCGTCAGTTGAGAGATTTATTCACCAACACTGTTATGCTCAATTTCAATTTACCTGAGACACGTAAGCTTACGTAATTGTAATTTATCTTAAGCACGAGTCTTACGAGTCGGAGACGCTAATTCGAAATCTTAATTGATTAGCACTTCCGTTTCTGCCGCTTATAAAAATTCCGCGAAGAAAAACATCACGGTAAGATTACAAATTATATTATGTTGAATTCTACGGAAAATACAAGTTATTTATTTATAAAATTAAATTTCAATCAATTATTTCAATATCAAATCGCTACTCATATTATCCTTGGCATTATTGAGTTACCAATATTTTCAAAAAATTATCTCGAGCTTATTTAAAATATCCGTTACCTTGATTATTTATATAGCGGATCTTCCGTGCAAAGTATCTTTCGTTTTTACGGTGCATAAATTTCTTATGCAAATTCTTGTTTCCTAATTTTAGAAATAAATACGAATTTTGGAATTCTCGCGCTGTCCGTTATCTCGCAGGATAAAGTTACGTGAAATGAAATTTCAATTCTTTCTCTCTCGTTTTTAATTTCTATGGAAAAAAAAGGCGCGACGGCACATTTGTAAGGCACGTAAAAATATTATTCTGACGTGGGAAAAGGATACGAATCACCGATGATTTCTCACCTTGACCTTAGACTCGTGGACGCAGAAGGGACTTCCGGGCCGCGATTCCTACTGGATCGCGATCCTCGAGTCTCGTCTACCGGGTAGCTCGGAAATCACCACGCGCTGCGGGCGCTCTAGTTAGCACGGATAAACGCGGGATAACTGAGCTTATTCGTATGTCAATGGCAATGCTCCCCTACTATTTCTCTATCAAATCGAATGATAAGCGGAACGTCATTCAATGGATATCGCCGATGAGACACCGGTGCTGACATCTTATTATTCGCACCCAAGCGATCCAACGCGCCTCCGACCGTAAGATAGCATGCGCATCTCCTGGTTGCGGTCCATGCTAAAGTGTATAATGAATAACGAATAACGCGTATGTCTTCGATGGAACAGCGTTCTAGTCCGGAGATAAGGATCTACGCGGAGAGAAGCCTGAGGGCTGCCACGGCCGGGTTTTAGGTAATCCTCGAATGCGATACAACCCCTGTGGACATTGGAAAACGTGGACATGAACTACGTAGCCAATATCCACATTTTGCCAAGTGGGTAACGCAGATTTACGAAATTTTGTAGCAAACTTGTACTCTTTTTGCTGAAAAAATTGTAGTAGATTGTTCTCGATAAACTTGGTTTTTTATACATTTTATTATAAACATGAGAACTTTTTTGACCGTGTCTGGCAACTTGTAAGAATCTTCCAAATTTTATTACAACTTTGCATTTTTCTGGTTATAAATAAAATAATGCCTCCCTTTTAGATACGAATTAAATTCTTATCCGATAAAAACAGACTAACTTGTAGAGGCCCTTCACCACCCCTGCCGCATTATTCTCGGCGGTCCTCTTTTCTTCACAATAAAATTGCGTTTACTTCGAGTTATACGAGTATACATTTTTTAATTACATTCCGCGACTAATTAAAATTTATAATATGAATGAAATTAAACAATTAATAATTTCTTGAAAGTGCTTTAAAAAACTGATCGCGAAGACCGACCGCGAAAATATGAAGATGCGTGTAACTATGCATGTATTCATGCACGACACATCTTGAAAGTGTACAGCGAGATAAACACAGAATAAATGACGTGAGATCCAGAGAAAAGAAACTTTCCGTACGAAAGATAGACCGACAATTGAATATTCCAGTTAATCAATATTCTCAAATAATGTAACAGATAATATAAAGTTTCAGCGTTCTCGACAAAATATTAGAATCTCATGTCATATTATTTTACTTCATATATAAATTTGTTAATGAAAAATGGATAGACTACAAGAGTTTAGCTCGACGAATACATCAATAATATTCGTCATATTTTGCGTGAAAATATGTGATGTGTTGCAACGGGACACCCAACCCTTCACAGTAAAAATCGCGATCACTCCCTTTCTATAGATGAAATATATTCAAATAAATATGAAATTATACATTGTAAAAAATCTATCTATTTTAAGACAACAAATCTACGAGATATACTAATCTACGATCTACGAACTACAATCTACGTTCTACGAGATGTAGATTCGTTGCCTTATTAAAAAGTTTGTGACTTACCACGCGATGCGCAAGAGCGGAGTTGGCTCGTTGATTCTGTAACATAAAAATAAGAATTTATTACAACAGTGTTCAAGCAAATTAATATTGTAAAACATAAGTAATTCTTATGTGTGTTAAACGTTTTATTTGATTGGAAATTTAAATGATTAATGCGCAAGAGATTTTCCGCAAAAGATCTTCAAAATAATAAACTTTAGTAAAATTTTAAATTATTTCTTGTTCTCTAATTATTATTTCGAAATTATAGAATTATGCAATAAAACGACGAAAAAATGAACTAATTAATTTTACACTAAATAAAAAATATTTACCTTAAAGTTGCTCCGCCGGCGCCTGATGTCTCTCCTGGGCCTCCTCCACTCAGATTGTCCTCTGGTACACTCGCGAAAACACAAAGATCGTTCGCGCGATTGTACACTCCCGTTTGCAAAGTCCGTTTGAAAGTACGCATGTTGTTCCGTCAAGTTCGCCTCCACTTCGAGTTGGCGAGTATTATATCCCAAAAACTGCCAAATCTCGGAAGTGTGGCCATCGACAGGAACGGACATTTAATGAATACTTGATCAAATGGGCTTTGAAAAGTCTTTAGTTCGATTATTTAAACGGCACTCCCGGACGCTACGAAAACAGAAACTTCGTTATACGCGCACTTTTGTTCGTATAATTGTTAGAGAGATTATTTCTTGGCACGCGATTGATATATTATAATTGTATGTTTAAAAGTGTCAAAATAGTACCAAAATTTCGACTCGGGAAGAACCAAAGCGCTAGCTAACTTGAAATTACTTCATTGCGATAATTACGGACGATAATTGCTCCTTTAATCGATGCTCAGACTAGCATAATTTGTTAGCTGTTTCTATAATAGATTGAAAGCACGAAATAATATACAAAATATTAAACCGAGTGCTTTAATTAGCATTTATCGGCTATTTATTAATACCACTAGTTTCTATATTTTTTTACGGAATTTATAAATTAAAATACACCTGCGAAATTGAATTTTTAATTATTTTCGGCCGATGTGTCTCAATTAACCGTTAACCCAGTTGCGTTTACGAAAGTATTAATATTTTACCGTCAATTGAAATATTAATTACACAATGAGGCGGTGATCGTAAAGACTGATGCCGAATTGCGAGTGTCTGTGCAAAACTCTTGAAACTTTCTGAAGCTCGACGATTCGTAGTTAGCAAAATAATTGTTCACGTTCGAAAAACTTTATTTCTAATATCTTCAAAAAGTCGCCGCTCAAATTTTACTTAGGACATCGTTGTTTTATTAATATATATTTATAATTAAGCTACCAGAGAGAGAGAGAGAGAGAGAGAGAGAGAGAGAGAGAGAGAGAGAGAGAGAGAGAGAGAGAGAGAGAGAGAATCGCGCAGTCAGAAAACTTCAATCGAATATTCACGTTAACTAAATTTCGATATCTCTGCAGATAAATAATAAAATTGATTTCACTGTGTTACTTAAAATCTAATATTTAATATAAAACTATTACCGACAAGTCTATCGCGTTATTATCATTCCAATCAGTTCATCACGCAGAGAAATATTAGACATATCGAACGAATAAATTCCACGAAGAAAATCTGAATCTGAATATGTACGCATTTGCGTAATATACAAATTAAATGGCTTACGTGTACAGATCGAAAGCAGCTTGCTATTCCGGCGAAATTAAAGAACAATATGGCATCACTGAAACTAAGTTTGTAAGTCTAATAAGAAACAATAGTGAGCAACACGCGCATACAGTACATGTAGTACGTGTAGTATGTAAGCCATTTAATTTGCGTATTACACAAACGTTTCCGCGGAACAGACAGTCTTAAGCGAAAGGTGCAAAAGTGCCGAATTACTCCAGCATCCCCTTAAGTAAAATTGACAACGTCAACGAACGACAACAGACGCACGGCAAGGCACGAGACAAAAATGCGACTGGGGGCGCGAGAAAAGTGGAGGAGGATCGGTAAAAATTTTCCACTGAATTTGCAAATTTTCCACGTAATTGTAAATACGACGGTACGTTGCTTGGCTCGGCGCTCGGCGCACGGTTTTTTCCCCCCGGGTTCACCCAGTTTTTGTGTACACAGCGCGGCGGCGACCTTGTTGTCGGTCGCAGTGCGGCGCGGCGCGACCGAGCGAGCGGGTGGTAGCACGTACGCTGTCATTATCCTTCGCGACGCGACCGCGGCGAGACGTGCTCCGCGAGCGATTA